TAACTAACAGTTAAAACTAAGACAGCCATAACCATCGAAAATGGAAAAAGCCACCTATAAAAACAAAGAACTGTAGTACGACACCTCTATACTGGTCAAGAGATTTTCCAGATTGCCATAAAACCAGTCAAACAAAAATTGAGGCATCAGATGTTCAAAGAGCGAATTAGCAGAAATGGCAAGACGTACCAACATGAGCCTGCTTCAATGCACCCACATCGTTGGTTCCGTCACCACACATCAGAGTCACAAAACCCAAACGTTTCAAATGCACCAAAATATCCTCCTTTTGTTTGGGCACAACACGGGCGTGTACTTTCGCCTTGGGTATGAGATCGTGCAATAGATGCGGTGCACTGGTTCGTAAGGCCTCAATTCCCTCGCCCGTTAGGCAGAGATCATAGTCCCGAGTTAATTGAGACAAATATTTTCTTCGTGAACGGTCATCGACGAGCGCGGGGTGTATGATCGAGTCATCGACAGACTGCCAGTGCCAATGTTCCGCTGGTATTGTGCATTGATACGAACAAAAAATTAAATGGTGAGGGAGAGAGAAATTACATTTATCACTTCGTTGACTGGATAACCTTAAATAAGTGGACACAGTTGCAGAAATATAGGTCGCAAAACGGGATAACACGGAAACCGAAAAATGAGATTAGTGTGTGTCATACTGCTGAATTCATTAACACCGCGTACCTTTTGTGTTTTCTATTCCATGCCCTAGATCGAAACTTATTTCGTACCATTGAATAATGGCCGATTAATGTCTCGATGCAGTGAGAGTTACGCGTCTGGCTTTCGTGTCGTTTGGCAAGAATGATGCTGACTCGATGCGCCCAGACAAAAAAGTGACAGAAACACGAATGAACAAAACACCGAACATAAGAGAAAAGAAAAACATCGGCCTACGGACAAAACAACTCTGGCAAAACTAGAACGAGACTCAGCGATCATTCTTCAAGCCATAGCCGAAGGTCATATCATAAACTAAGACAACCCGAAAATACTGCAACTCGGATTTCGAACATGCACTGAACGCCTGATTGCCGAAGCTTTGGCCACTAACACCCACTCTGCATGTGCCAACAGAAACAACGATATCGAGATCCCGAGCATTTAGACTACCCTAACATCCCTAACGCGTAATAACGATCAATGTCACGGTGTCACTTGACCCTATCTGATAATGGGAGTTAGTATGACAGACAACGAATCATTCAGCCCACCACACACAGGACGAAATATCCGTTGGATTGTTATCCATTCCTCTGAGTCATTTGATTGTAAAACCTGCCTTGAGAAAGGTTAGCCACGGTAACCAAAACGTCGGTGAACGTAATTCTCTACCGACATGGCTGTTATTAACATTCTAACATTCACAGTAAAACGGCACATGGCGCATCGATTTTTCGATACACTCCTATCATTTGGTCTTGATGTATTAGAAACACTGAATCCAGTTACATTTCATTGAGTAGGGAACTATTCTACCTCCCAATTTACAAAATATGATCAATGCTTATTTGTCGAGCAGAATTAACGCGGTATTCAAGGACTGCATCAGAGTCAATCATTGTATGATATTTTAAGCGGTAGTGACGGATGAGCGCAACGTATATCAAGCTGCTGAAGGTTTTCAAGGGACCCCAAGTGATTACTGTGTAA